AATATAAAATTGCCAAACCAACTTATTACAGATTCAACACTTATTAAACAATATGTTTAATCTCATTTTTATAATTGGACTGCACTTAGACCTATCAATAAACTTCTCTTTAATAATTTCTAAAAAAACAATATCTTTTATTTTTTCACATCAATCCAAATTGGTATTATTTTTTTAACACTCCTATTACTAATAAAGAACTTCTTCAAACCCTTTCACAACTATCTAATAACAAAACTTGTAGTTCTATAGGTATTAGTTATGAAATACTTAAACATATTAGTTCCCAGTACACTTCTGCTATTACTACTCTTTTTAATTATTGTCTTCTTGATAACTGAATTTCTAAACAATAGAAACATAGTAAAATTTATTCTATTTCTAAATGTAACATCTTTGATGATAACTTTAATTTTATATAACCTATTATAGTCACATCTTTCTAAGTGCATGCTGTCAGGACCATAGTAAAAAAAATCAAAATTTTGCACTTAGAAGAGGTTTGCACTTATGGAGAATAAAATATATAAGGTTCTTATAAGTTGGGGTCAACTCATAATTTGCATTTAGAAAGGTTTTACATAGTACTTGCACTTAGAAGATGTGCACTTAGAGGGGTGTAACTGTAGGCTAATCAAACACATTCACAAACTTTATACAAAAATTCTTACAAACTGACTTAGTTCTGTATTTTTCTCAAATCCTATTTTCTCATCTTTTAACTATGTTACACTTCCTAATAATAGTACTTTAATTCTTATTTATATTTTCAATAATCTTATTGAAGATGCTATATGCAATCACAAAGACATTTAGTTACTCTTATAAGATATGAGCAAATCATATAATTCTATAAACTTTGCTTTTTTTAAACATTCACTTTCTTATTTCTTACTTCCTTCATTCATTATTAACATTCTTACTAATTTTTTTACTGATTATCACAATCAAGTTATTACCAATTTTAGTCTTACTTCCTCTTATCTAGTTCATAATGGTATTGACTAAGGTAAAACAATTACACTTTTATTATAGTGTATTTACTATGACCTACTTATTTTAAGCATATAAGGTCTTTGCCTTGAAAATAATCCTATTGGACTAAGTAGATTTTATAACTAAAAATTAAAATTTCTAGTCATAAAATCTACATAGTCGCATAAGGTCATTTTCAAGACAAAGATTTTATAGAATCAAAAGTTCCTAGATATACTCTACAATCTATTTAAATCATCAATCTAAAACTTTAAACAACCAATTTATTACAAAAACAATGCTCTTTTCTAGTATATATAAATGATACTCTTTGGATCACTTCTTTACAAACTGAGTTATCTCATATACTATCTATAGCTAAATCATTTTATGCTATGGCAAACATCCAAGTTAATCATTTAAAATTTATTTTGGTTACTAATAACCTTTTATCTTACTATACTTCTATCTCTTATAATAACTATTTACTTCTACTTCATTCTTTTAAACAGCTCTTTAAATTGTTAGGTTGCTAGTTTCTTTAGATAATAGATAATCTAAACAAACAAAATTAATTATTTTTGAATCCTCTTAACTTATTCTACTAGATAGCTATACAATGCTGTTATGCAAAACTAGAAACAGAATTTTATTAATTATTTATAATTAATAGAAGGAACTATTGATATTACTCAACTAATTCTATACTTAGTATATAATATATTATAAAATTATTTGAAAATATGAAATTATTTTGCTAGTCTATATAGCATAACAGGCTTTTATTGTAATTGAATAATTTTGTAGAGCATCATGTAATATTGCAAAAATATCATTAGTTAATTAAAATGGTCAATCAAAATTATTTTAACCAAATTTACATAAAACTATATCTGATATAATTATTTGTTAATATCATATAAAATCATTAGCATCTCTAAATGCATTACTACAAAATCTATTAACTTAAAGTTTAAAACTATTATCCTAATACAAACAAAATTCAAATACTTATTTTTTAAAAAAGTATTATTACACAAATTTTAAACAAAATTATAAAAGCTTGAAAAACAGTTAAAAAATATAAACTAGTTATTTCAAGAAACAATAAAAACCAAATAAATAATTTTTCTAATAGTATATAATATGTAACAGTTCATTAATACCAAATTAAATTAGCAAATAAACCTAAATTAATAATTTTGAATGTAATAATATTCTTAACAAACTTAGACATAATGCTATTTTAATCTCTTATAAGCTTGCATGTTCATGCTTTCAATGTTTTATATTAATAATGTATTTTACTAATACTATATATCTGTTTTTAAAAAAATTAAAAATAAGTTATAAATAAAATAGATTAGCATTATAAACTTTTAATTTACCAAGTTTAATACATCATAGACTATATTGGTCAAATTGAAATGCCTAAACATACCTCTCATTTAACCTCCTAATTATCTTATCAATTACCAAATTACTATGGTATATTATAGAACTGAAGATGTAGTTTCTAAATTTTTATATTATAACCTTACTGAATTTGTACTCTAGTAAGTTTATTGTTAGGCAGATACTAAACTATTTATTGAGAAACATATAGTATTATTCATTTGTTTAACAAAAGTAAAAAATCATAGTTGATCATTATTATTTAAATTTAAGTATTATTTTATTTGTAGTTAATGTTAATTTGCTTTACTCTTTTTAATAATTAAACAATAATAAGTTTTGGTAAAAATTAAGATTACTAAAATTTTTTTTTAAACCTTTTCTAATTTAGAAAAAATTTTAAACAGATTAGTTAAATTGAATAAAGATTGTGTGAGACATAATTTGAATAAGTATATGTTATTAATTATATCTAACTTTGAGAAGGTTAGAATGATTATTTGACAAGTAATGAGAATAAAGTTCAGATTAATTTATTATTGAAGATTAGAAATTATTAGATTAAGTAATATTAATTTTAAATAATTTTATACTAATAATGTGAAATTCATCAAGTAGAATATTCTTAGAATTAAAAAGAAGTTAGTTTAAAAAATAGATATAATCTATTAATAATAATTTTAGAAAGTTAAAAATAAAAAATGATTCAAATGTTTTACCATTCTTTTAATTAATTAGTTTTTTGTACCTATTTTTCAAGTCTATCAAATTTAATACAAAGAGCAGGTAATATTTACATATTTATTATAGATTTATTAAATAGTTGTAAAATTAGTAAATTATCTAATTTTTGCACTCAGGAAAGCATTACATATATGCTATTGCTTGTGTTACTGCTAGCCAGATCAATGATTGCTTTTTGAAGAGTTCTTTCTTGGCATTTATAATTAGTAAACATGAATGCTAGGGTTATAAGAAGTTAAAAATATTAGAATCTTCTTTAAATTTTTAAACCATCATATTTTCAAATAGTACAAATGCAAGGACATTTAATGGGATAAATAGGTGCATAATTTTGTTGAATATTTTAATATAACTAGGACTTCTACCTATTAGTTCAATAATAATATATTTTGGTGGAGTTGATAATATTATAGTATTTTGATTACTAACTAAAGGATCAATTGAATCTTTATTATATACAATTTCTCTAAGAATTTTTTAAAAACTATTTGCAAGATTATTATTAACATAAATATTTATAGTTATAACAACTTTCATATTGATAGATAAGAATAAAATTCTACATTCTGCATTGTTTTTAGTATCATTTGTTGCTAAAAATTTAAGACAATTTTTTTTAATAAGAATATTATGATTGTAAAAATCTTATGCACAAGAATAAATAAACAGTTGATTATTATAATAAGTATGTTCTCTTGTTGCTTCAAAATTAATTTGAACTTGAAGATTGTTTCTAGTTACAAGAAAAGTAGCATCTTTTCATTTAGCAGAATTAATTTAATTATTACTAGAAACTTTGATCATAAAACTGATTTATGGGGTTCTGTAAGATTTCCTTCATGCATAAATTCAAGAATATTGGCATAAAAAAGATCATCTATTTGATGTATTTATTTATTTAAAATAATTACATGCTTAATAATTAACCAAAAATTTCTTTCTGTAGTATTACGACACAATGAGTGTCAATTGATAAAGAGTCAATATTATGTTTTTTTAATCAATTTTGATGTAATTTGACTATCAGAAGTAGTTCAAGAATTATTAGAAGACAAGAGAGTAATATTATCAAATATATATAAAGCTAAGTCTAAAACAGATAATAATTGCATAAAATCATTAACAAACATGATATTTATTTTGATAAATGATATAGAATTGTCTGTTGCTTTTAATTTTTTTAAAAAAGTATAAAATTAGACTATAAGATTTTTATTAAACATAGAAACTTCATTCAAAATAATATATTCGATGTCAAATCATAATTCTTGAAGCTGTCAAAGAGAGTTATCTGTTAAAGTAGTTAGTTTATTGCTATTTTCATTAAAACCAAATCTGCATACTGAATGTATTATACTTCTATAAATATTAGCTGCAGTGATTCCAGTAAGAGCTAATATTAGAAGGGTATAACATTAGAAATGTGCTCAAAATAAGAACTAATAGCTTTAATAATTTTAAATTTGTCAGTTTCTTTTGCACCTTCAAGATAAAGTAGTAGTTAAAATGGTCTAGATTCATTTATTTTTTGATTTTTTTTGATAATGATTACATATATGGAATAGGCTTTTTTTTGCTCATTATTTAAACCTAATGCAAAATTTTCTAAAGAATTAATATTTTTTTCAGAAATATTAATGTAAAAAAATTGTTTGTTGATTATCATTTTCAAGATTTAAAAATAGATTTGAGAATAGATTATTTTTATAATTATGTAAAGTATTATATTGATAAAATGATTTTTGAGAAGTTATTGTATTTTGCCAAACTTTTAAAAGTTTATTATCAAGAGCATTGCCTGGATATATGTTTTTTAGAGTAAAATTATTAATATTTTTTGATTTTGACAAGTTCACATAATATTATGTAAGGAATTTTTACTTTATTCACAAAGTATTCATAATAGTATTAATTATTTTAATATCTTTTAGCCCTAATCGAATAATAGTAGCTGGATTAAACATAGTAATGTTTTCAGAAGTAGAAGTATCAAAGTCACCATCATTAAAAAGATCATACTGAATATTTATATTATATTCAGAAACAGAATAGTCAATATGATAAGCTTTTATAAGAACAGAATTATGTTTTGCTTTTTTATATAGCTCATAGTTTAGTGCTGTCTCCTTTGAACATCTATGTAATAAATCTATATTAGAAACTATATATTTTAAACATAGTAATATAGCAGAAGTATCTAAAAAAGCTTAACATGCTTCAGACCATGTGTTATAATTTTCTAAAAAATTATGAATAGTATTTCATAGTTTAAATAGTAATAGAATATGCAATTTATAACTTTTAGTATTTTCTATATCATTTTTTTAGATATTTCTTTACTTGAAAAAACAATTACTCTTTTAGTCCTTCATCTTCTATATATTTAAATATAAGTTTTATATTAAGGATATACATTATAAGGTTTATAAACAAAATCAGAATAAATTTCATTTTTCTGAAAATAAAATTGTTTATTTTCTTCTTTTGAGCAATAAATTAATAATACAGAAAGTTTATATAAGTTTAATATTGTCTTTTGAATGCAAGCTGCATAGTTATAAAGACAAATATTATGTTGTGAAGAGTCTCAAAGTTAATAATCAATATAAAAATTTATTGCAGTAAACTTATTATTAAAAAATGTAACTAGAAATGACTTATCAACTATATTTTGGTCATTCTTAGCATCAGCAGAGTCAGAATTATCATCAGATTTATTAAAGTTTTCTGGAAAGTTTTTATAATAATTCTTATATTCCTTTTTAAAATAAGTTACAAATAATTGAAGATGATTTAAATGAACATATTTGTATGTAATAGTTAGGAATGCCCAATAAATAAGCTGAAACTTGTAGACTTGTAAGTTCTGCTTGACCTACTATCTTATTAAAGCATTTTGTAACAAGCTTGTATAAGTTATTTACAAGATCAATAGATGTTTCATCAGATACTTGTTTTATAAACATTTGTAAAGTAGAAGCACATATCAAATGTACTATGCATACTAAAATCAGATTTAGTTATATAGTTAGTAATATAATAAATATATGCAAGAGCCAATTTTCAAGTTGCAATAAATTTAATATCATTGTTTTCTTTACAGACAGCGGTTATATATAGGTTATAATTATTTATAAAAGCTTAGTACATTGGATGGTAATAATACCTTGATCAGGAATAATAATTTCAGAAGAATCTATTAACTCTCATGGAAAATTGAACTTACAGTGCTTTTGTAAGCTATGATTATATTTTTTACAAGTTCTATTATAGTTATAAAAAAGTGTATGCTTAGTGATTGCAAGTAAATCTTGATGACATTTTTCTTTAAAACTAGAGAATCTGGGATCTGGTATAGAGCTGAAGGATAGGTGCTTTCTTTTTTCAATTACTGTTTTTGAAGCATTAAATTCAGCTTCAAGCATTTTATTGTTTAATACTTTATCTTTTGTGAGAAGATATTTTAAATCTTTTCAAACAATATTGCTAATATAATATAACAAATAATAGCAAAATTCTTTATCTTCTTTAATCTTACAATGTAGTGTAATTGGGTCTAAAGCATCATATAACTATATAAGCATGTGACAATGAGGAGTGCCTTGATCTTGATATTTAACAACACCATAATAGTTTTTTATAGTAACAAATATACTATCATTTACTTTATTATTATCAGAAAATTTTTTAAAAAAATATAAATCAATATATAGCAATAAATCGATATATATTGATTAATTCATTATATACTAATATATATTATTGTTCGATAAATATCAAACTATAATACATTTCATTATATATCAGATAATCAATTATCATCGATCAGTTTAAATCAATCTGTAACAATTAAAGCAAATAGCATATATATAATAAATATAATATATATTCAATATATATGCAATGCAAGTATATATTAAAGCATAAAACTGTTTACTAAATATTTATTTATTTTATCAAATCTTGGGACTATATGAACAGTTTTATCTATACTTTCTATAGAAATACAACTATAATGTTTAACTGATTTTAATTTAGGGCATATCTACAATTCACTCTCTTCTTTATACTACTAAACAAGAGTAAATTTAAATAGTTCTTTGCTTGCCACTTGGTAAATTTTGAGTATTAGCAATACCTTATAATTGATAATTATTATTTTAGCATATTATTACTTAAGAAGTTAGATAATGAGATATTTTTTAACTTCATGATTAGTTTCATTTTTATTATTATTACATTATTTTTTACATATTAATGCAATATATCATTAGTATAACATACTTATTAAATAAAATTATAATTAATTCTTACTAAACAATACCAATTTATATCATCTTCAGCACTAACAATAACATTGAAAAACATTAATTTGTCATGATAACTTCGAGATGCACAAATAATATTAGTACTTTCTAAAGCTATTAAAAAAAAAACTTCTATCTATGAGTCATAATAAACAGACATTGTTGATTCTTCTTCAAAAAATTTATCAAGACTAGTTAGCAAATTTTAAAACCCTTCTATTTGTATAGGATCCATATTATCTTTATTTTTTTGAAGAAAATCATCCAAGTCTTTCAAAGTTATCATTCACAAATACTTTTCAAATCCTTTAGTTCTTCGATTTTTCTTGAAAGCTTCTTTTTTAGTCAACTTTTGTCATATAATCTGTGATATTAATTATTAATGATATATAATGATTATATTTGAGTTCTGCCAAAGGCAAAC